AAATTAATATATATATATAGGGACTGATTTCAAACATCTAACCTACCGGAAAATCACCCTTATCTTTGTAGACAGTAGGTAGATGATAGAGAAAGAAACAGGTGCAAAAAATGGTGAAAGAAGGGAGGAAAATGAGAAGTTGAAATGGAAAACAGGCGAAGGGATGGGGAAGAAGAAAGTCTACAGATTCTCTGTAGACTGGCTTTCTTTGGGACCATTACTGGTCTCTCAACCAGATGTACGTTGGGCTAGAATTTCCAAACCATTAATGGTTAGGAAAAATTCAAAATAGTAATCTCTTAATGATACACTTCGAACACAATGCTAATTAAGTAGCTGTTTTATCATAGTTAGTTAGAAACAATGAATAATCTTCTTTGTATGTTCTATTTGGTTATAAACAAAATGGAGAATTCTTCTCCTTCAAGGCAACCGAACATAAATCATTCATCAGATTGAAACTTTTATTAAAAAGGAAAATAAATTGACAAATCCACATCAAGACGAAGTTGATTTGTAGAAACAAACAAAGCAGTTTGAATCCAACATCAAAAAAAAAAAAAAAAGTCAATACTTGAATTTGCTGCTCTCTATTAGAGCTCCAGTGCCTAAGGCTAAAATATAGTTCAAACCACCAACGAATGGTTGGATCAAGTGGCAAGCGGCTTGTTCCAGCTTAAACAAGGTCTCGAGTTCGAAACCTTCTGTACGCAGCAGTCTTCGTTGGGAGACCCACCCACCATTCTGGTGCGCCACAACTGGTCGAGTCAGGAGTAGTCGGGGCGAAGCCCCGGATACCGGACGGGAAACCAAAAAAAAAATATATAGTTCAAACCAAAGTTGGTTTGGAAAATGTTGTACCTATGATTTTGATGATTACAAAACACATTTGAGTGACTAGCTAGTTTATTTAAATGTGTAGTTAAATTGCTAAAGGATTGTAAGTAAACTTGGACTGCACTAAAAATAGACCAAAAGGATTGAAAATCTGCAAAGAGCCTGCTCTTAAAATCTGCAGTCGGCTCTGTGAAACGGAAGTGCAGAAAGTCAGCTTAAAGAGATTGCAGCCGGCTGTGAAAGTGCAGAGAGCCGGCTCTAGAAGCTGCAGCTGACTCTATGAGCAAAAATTTCAAGGCCATTGTTTGGCACGCAGAGAAAAGACGCAAAGTCGGCTCCAACTTTGTAGCCAGTTGTAAGGGCGCATTTAATGCTCAATGGTCGACTTATTTGAAGAATAATTAGTATTTTTAAAGTTAGAATACCAAAGTCGGCTTTACATTTTTGGAGCTGACTGTTCAAGAAAATAGAATGTGCAGTAAACCTGCAAAGCTGACTTTGCGTTTTGCAGTTAGCTCTACGGAGAAAACAGAATGTGTAGGATGCCACAAAGCCAGCTGTACAGAGCAGGTTGTAGAAGCTTAAGCCGGCTATGCTGACAATTCTACAACTCGAATTAAGCGACCTGCAGAGCATTAAATGACCCCCAATGGTTAGTAACAGCTATTTTCGACCATGGGGTTATAAATATGGTTGGTAGAAGATTTGAAGTAAGTTTAGAAAGCATTGCATTGAATACCTTTACCTACCCACATGAGCTTTAACTTGAGTTTTTGCTCTTTGAGAAATCTTTACTTGTAATCATCTTCTTGTTATATTTGTGAGTGATCTTGGGGGTGTGATTAATCCTTCAAGAGTGATCTATAGAGAGGATTCTTGGGGTTTATCTTGTAAAAGGGTGAGATTTGAGAGAAACACCCTTCTTCTTGTAAAAGGATTTGAGTGGCTCCTTTAAGCCACCTTTGATTTTGTTAGTGGAGAGTGTGGAGGAAATCCTTGGTGAGTGAAGCAAAGGTAGAAGACTAGGTTCCAAGTGGTTGGACCAAACCTCTATAAAATCATTGAGCAAGCTCTTCTTCTCTACTCTCTTTAATTTTGGTGTTGTGGTTGCAAAAGGGGAGAATTTTTGGAACTCCAATTCACCCCCCTCTTAGAGTACCTTGAGTCAACAGAAAAAAGGGGCTAGATTTAATTTTCTACACACAATCCAGACTAAAGTTGGTCTGGATATATCCAAAGTATAATGCCTTTTGACTGTTGCACATGTCCGGAAATTATTTCACAAATTTTCAGACCATAGTTAGTCTGAATATATGAAAAAAAAAAATCAGCACCTCCAACCGCCTTGTATTTTTCCTTTAATGAAAATATTTTGACCATAGTTGGTCTAAATATTTTTCACGCATTTTACTGTATTCCCGTCAATGATTTCCAGACTATTTACAGTTTGAATATCATAAACTCAGCAGGAGTTCCATATCAATAAATATTCAGACCAATTGTGATCCGAATATTTTTTTTTTTTCCAAATCGTGTTTTATTGGTCTGAATTGTTTCGATCTGAAAATAAAAAATTTCTAATAGTGTTGGATGCCAACATTACAACTTAAACTCTAAGGAACAAGTCCCACAAATATCTCCTTGAAGAATTAAACCAATACCAGCTGGCAATTCACTAAAGGTGGTGATATTGAGTGACAAACTATGTCCCAATGAAGCCAAATAATTGGCAGCCAAGTTCTCTTCTCTAAGAATATGTTGGACCGAATAGATGGTGAAAGCATCCAATAGGGTGAAAATATCTTAAAGTAACACTAAGGTGAAACCATCCATCTCATTTCGATCTTGAATCATTTGTACTACTAAAAGAGAATTGATTTCTAATGTTAGATGTTGAATACCTTGTGAATTAGCCAACTGTAAGCTTTCATGACAACCCCATAACTTTGCTAAGAAACTTGTTGTACATCTTATATGTATGGAGAACCCATGCACCCACCTACCATTTGAATCTTTAATTAGACTTCCAGCACAAGCCTTACTGGAAAGATGATCTAGTTAACCACCTATGTTTAATTTGAGGAAATGAGCATCAGGAAACCACTGTTGAATCCACTTAGGGGCTTAGGGGACAATAATTATATCAGCACTGAAAGCTAGCCAAGTCTATTAAGCTAGGCAGTGAACTTGTGCATAGACCTTGTTAGGAGGGATCTTCTAATTTTCAAAGATAAACTTTTTTCTACTTCAAAGATTCTAGATCATGGCAACAAACAATAGGTGGCCAATCCATGTGTATTAGACCTCATTGCAGAGAGTACATAGCATTTATTTGAAGCTAAGCATCAAAGTCAAGTGTGAAAAAGTTAGAGGGTAGTAGTTTGGTTACTTCCCACACAAATCATAAGTAATAACAATGCTTTCTCACATCTTATGCAAAGTGGTGAGGGTGCTATATGTCTGTAACGACCCAACTCACTATCAATACTTTCCGCTTTGACCCTTCTAGCCTCACATTTTTAAAACTTGTCAATAGGGGATAGTGACTGTTGATTTATATATCCAGCATCTTTCTCATGCTTTGTCAGTGTAGAATTTGCCTAGGTGTGTCACATACACCTCATTTTAGAGACTCAATGTCCTCATTGAGGTTTGCTCCACCACCATTTAAGAGGACAAGTGAAGTGAATTGATATCATTTGTAACAACCTAACTTACTATTGATATTGTCTACTTTGGCCCCTTGAGCCTCATGGTTTTAAAATGCATGAATAGGGGGTAACTAGGGTTGACTTATATACCTTGCATCTTTCCTATGCTTTGTTTGTGCTTTGTTGGTATGGGATTTGCTTAGGGGTGGCACATACATCCCCTTTAAGGACTTAGCGTCCTCACTGATTAAAACGACCCAAGGCAAAGTTCACCACTAACTTAACAACTCTTTGAATCAAAGTCCATGGGGTCTCAAAGGTTCAAGCTCAAGTTATTACTAGTCGTTGATCTCCTCACTTATATGCCGAATTCACTCATAAGTCTCCACTAATGTGAAATTTAAGGCGTTATAATCTCTCCCACTTAAATACTTGATGTTTTCTTCAAGGCCAAGCATAATCAAAACTAGGTCCATTAGGCCCCCCAGCACAAGATCCACGTCAAGTGATATAGGGTCTACACTACTATCGGCTATGATAATCAACAGAAGCTCGCACTTGTGTGAGGTGACTGCTTTGATACCAATCGAAATGACCCAAGTCGAAACCCATCACTAACCTAACAACTTTTTGAGCCAAAGTCTATAGGCTCTCAAAAGCTCGAGCTCGAGTTATTAGTAGTGGTGGTTGGTCTTGTCACTTATACACTAGATTCACTCACAAGTCCCTACCAATGTGAGATTCAAGTTGTTACAATGTCTATCAAAATGAATTGAATTTGTAAGAACGTGCCTTCTTTTAAAGCCATACAAAAAATTTGATCTTCTCCAAGCACTTGAGTCGCTAGACTAAGCCTTATTGCCTGTGTGGTGATAATTCGATCCTTTTAGTTTGTATCAATGAAAAAGTTGATTTAACTAAAAACTCTCCATTTAAGGCCCCACACCAGAATATTTTATCCTTCATTAGTCTATTCAGGGGAAATGGGATTGCTGCAATCTAATTCATAATATTCCTTACAAGAACAAGGCTTAACTGGAGTGATGTCCCAAGTACAATTATCCATTATAGCAACAACCACATTTTCTCCCTTGAATTCAAGTGGGACTACAATGGTAGTACCATCAACTAGCCTTATTTCACCAACCCAAACATCTTGCCACAATTTTATGAAATTTCCCGAGGCTAGACACCACCTGACGCCTAGCTAGAAATCATCTTGACTCCTTTGTATAATACTCTTTCGTGTGACAGAGGTAGAGGATATATATATATATTCATTTCGTGAGACGCTGCTGTTTATAGATTATTGGACCTTAACACAAGAAAACTGAAGACAACACATTTGCTTTGATATCGCAATGAAAGTTTAGAGTGATTCACTGTTGCTAGAGCTATTAATGGAAGATAACTCTCTATTTTCCCAGGACAAAATAGTTCTGCCCTACCTCGCCTTCAGAAATTAGCTCCGATGCAATAATCACAATGAATCCCGCTTGCTAGCAATAGAGTTAGGGAAGCACGATACAAAGCAGCTAGCTTATAGGAGTAGGAGTCAGCCTATGAGATGAGGAGTCAGCAAAGAAGTTAACCTACCTTTAGACCATGGCCCCTGGGTACAAGAAGTCACTGGCGCTTTCAAAGCAACGAACAAAGTAAGCAACGGGACAAGATTTTTTGAACATTGGGTTTTTATAATTCGCGTTTTTGATGGTAATTATTGTATTTTTTTATATTAATTAATATTAAAAAAATAAAAATTAATTTATATTTAAATAATTATTTAATTAAAAAATTTACATAACATTAATGGTAAAATTAATAATATTTTTTTATATTTTTTAATATTATCAATATTAAAAAATATAATAATTATATCTTTAATCTAATTCTACAAGTACATACGGAAAAAAAATTTTAAACATTTTATTAAAACCATTAATATTTAAAGATTTTTTTAATTTAAATTACATTAAATTATAAAACAAAAATTGTACCAACGAGGGATTGGATTAAGTGGTAAACGGTTTGTTCCAGTTTAAACAAGATCTTGAATTCGAAACCTTGTGTACGCAGCAGTTTTCGTTGGAAAACTCACACACCATTTCCAGGTGCGCGATGTGAGTCAGGTCCGGATTAGTCGAGGCAAAGCCCCGGATACCAGGCGGGAAACCAAATAATAAAAAATAAAACAAAAATTGTTGAATAAAAATACATCTTCTAATATTATAAAACACATTTCCATTTAAGTATTTAAGTTATCTAATCTAAATCACATAACACTTTCTTTTTTAATATTTATACTAGACCTTGCACTGAGGTTCAAAGAAAAGAAAAAGAATTCCCTTTAGAGAGGAGTGATTGGGATCTGCCTTACAAAAACAGGGGAAATTTGAAATGCCAAGCCAATAAACATTTGGAACCACCATTATTACAATCAAATCAATCTATTACATCGTTCATACCATTGAGCTCATCAAGAGGCCACGTTTACGATTGATGAAATTTGCAAGGTATCTAATCATCATAACTATTAGTCGAATAGTATGCCCCAGAAGAAGCAGCAGCAGCATCAACCCGATCCAAACAAGCAGCAATACTAGAAAAGTTGCTACTTTCCAAACCTGATCATATTGAGTAGCAGCTGGGTAATGATATATATGAGATGACGATCAGATAGGCCATGGTTAAAGCAGTGATTGCTATCCACATAATCACCATTAAAATCCACATAAAAAACCTCTGCCTGAGCGGTAATCCGCTTGTGAGCAACAAGATGATGCTAAGAGATGCCAAGAATGATGCTGTGTTAAATCCTAAGAAAAGAAAATCAAATCTCTTAGGGTTATCGAAAAAGTCATATAGTTTACCTAAGAAATTCGAAGATGCTGTCCCAACAGATGGGTCACATATGGCTGGGGGTTTGGCCTGGAATGGGGTTGAGGCAGGGGCAGAGAAGTTTCCTTGCCCACCACCACCAGGAGGGGTCAAGGCAGCTTGGAAAGCCATGCTGGCATTCTGTGATGCCACAACCATCAATGATTTCCTTTGCTTTTAGAGCCAATCAACATGCCTATTAGTCTATTACTAAATAACTTATTGCGACGTTTCTTACGACTCAGTGGATTGTTTTGATTTGATGAAGGTGACAATAAGATCTGTTTCCTTATATCATTGAGTTCATGCTTTGACAAAGGATTGCCTCTTGCCCTTACAGCACCAGCACTCCTAAGGGACTCAGCAATCTCCTTATCTTTTACATCTCTTTCATTTTCTGACAAAATATCTAAAGCTGTGAGGCCATCTGCGTTCGTTAAATTCACTTCTATTGGGGAAGTAGCTATCAGAAAATTTACAGCCTGTAAAATTTTGATCATTAATCTATAATAATAAAAGTAACGAACAAGGGGAAAATTAAGTGTTAATTGAACACAAGAATAATTTTTCATCTCTAAACATACCTCAAGTTGTCGATCAGCCACTGCTAGATGCAAGACAGTATTGCCATCATAATTCTGATAATTCATGAAATAAGGGTAGCTTATAGCTTCAACCAAGAACTTCATAGCTTCCAACTGGTTGTGTCTGACACAGGCATGCAAAATCGCGTCACCCCGTCCATTAGAGCTCGAGCAGCACGGGGCCTGGCATGAACCAGATCTCTTAGGATGCTGACATGACGCTTTACAACTGCAATATGTAGAGGGTTTCTCCCATCCTGGTCACAAACAGATCACATATCAGGGTAGCCTGTAGCAACCTCTTCACTATTTCTAGGTAACCTTTTGCCGTCGCTAAGTGAAACGGGGATGCCTTTGAGGAATCAAGTTCCTTGGCGAGCTCAGGCTTTCGGGTGAGAATTTCTTGAACAAATTCAAGATGTCCAAGCATGGAAGCTATGTGCAGAGGTGTTTCAGTGTAGCGACCAGCGATGAATCTGTCAAGAAGCAATGCATCCTGTTGAAGTAACTCAAGCAACAAATTCACGTTTCCTGCCTTAGCTGCTTCACAGAGACTCTTCTCCATTTTGTTTTGTTAATTTGTGTGGATTAATTGATGCACGAACTTGCAAAATATTAGATCCCCACACAACCCCATTTATAGAAAAATGATATTGTTTTCAAGTCATTGAAGTTGGAAATTGATAGAATTCTATTAGTGTCTGTTTTGAGGATGTGGTTATTGTACCCCTAAAAAAAAATTTTTAAAGACACTAAAATTTTAGTTTTATTTTTTAAAATAGAGTTTAAAATATTAATTTATAAGTTAATTTTAATTTACAAGTTCATCATAAGGAGAGTGAATCCCTAAGGGATTATATACAACGATTCAATAAAGCTACTCTAGACATTGACAATGTCCCAGACACAATCTATTTGTCTACCTTGTTACATGAGCTGAGACCCAATCGCTTCCTTGATGACCTCTTGGAAAATCCACCAAAGACGTGGAATGAAGTTAATGATAGGTTGATAAGTTTTATTTTGTCAAATGATTTTCAATCATCTAAAAGATGAGCAGATGATAGGCCAGGAAGAGATTTGAAACAAGAGGGGAAAGAAGAAAAGAAGAAACAAAAAGTTATTGACTAAAGAGGGAGATCTAACAGCTTTCAGCCCTTACTTAAAATATGTAAACTATAGTCCACTAAGCTTGTCAAGATCACAAATCCTAGCTCAGATATAGCAGTGGGTAAAAAGACCAACTCCCATGCCTTTTAATCCAACAAGAATCAACAAAAGTAAATATTGTGACTATCATCATGGTTATGGCCATCACACGAGAAGACTGTCAGAATCTAAAAGACGAGCTGGAATTCTTAGCTCAAAATTGAGGACTGGAGGATTACATACAAAAGTCCTTTCCCTAATAGCCTAGCCAAATGCACTATGTGCAAGATTATACCCAACCCCAGATGCAAGGATACCAAGCTGATAGTAGTCAAGGAACATATCAAGGAACTTCTTTTTCTTTTGACACTAGCAAAAATTTTAAAGGTCGCCAAAGGGGCAGAAAGGGATAGGGCTAATGAACCACCACTAATCAAAAGGATAATAAAGGACTAGGCTACACTAGAATCCCACTACCAACAGGCACGATTAATATGATATCAGGAGGAATGCATGCAGGTGGCCAGAGTGCCCGAGATCGCAAGGCTTATGCTCATCAAGTAATGACTCTAAATAAAAATAGACCTAACAAGCACCTCTTTGAAGAGGCCAAATAGGAAAATGCTCCCATTACATTCATCTCATTAGATTACAAATGGCCTGATAGGGAGTCTCATATAATCATGCCTTATGTTGATTCGCTTGTGGTCGTAGTGCATGTTCGCAACCATACCGTGAATAAGGTCTTTGTCGATACAGGCGACTCCCCAGACATTATGTATTGGGATTGTTTTTAGAAAATGCAATTGAATCCTACTTCTTTAAAGAAATATGAAGGCCCTATATACAGATTCGAAAACCAGCCCCTTGTAGTGGAGGGAGTAATTACCCTACCAATATATGTGGATATTGAGCCAAGGTACAGAATAGCATCAATGAATTTTTTGGTAACAAAGATGGAATTAGCTTTCAACGCCATCCTAGGAAGGATTGTAACCACATTTATGCATGAAGTTTCCTACTCCCAATGGCATTGGGGAGTTAAGAGGTAACCAGAAAATGGCTCAAACCTATTAGCAAGACACCTTTAAGAAAGTTGAGCTCACAGCAACTCCCCGAGCATCAACATCTCAGCCATCTATGCTCAGCTGACCTAGCTTGTAAACTATGAGTATTTTTTATGTTGATCACAGACAAAAAGGTGTCAAGCAAAAAGGCTAAACCCGTAGAGCCTATAAAGATAGTTCCTTTGGATTTGGTTAAACTAGAGGGAACAATAAGAATTGGGACAAAACTTATAACCAAGGAAAAGGTAGAGCTTTTGGGCTTATTAAAAGCTAATAGAAATGTCTTCACTTGGATGGCAGACGAAATGACAGGCATCCCAACCAAATTTACAGTCCACAAATTAAGCACAGACCCAACTAGGAGGCCAGTCTTGCAAAAACGTCAACTCTTTGGCTTGGAAAAGCAAGCAGCAATAGATAAGGAAATATAAAAACTACTACAAGCTCAATATCCACATTCTGATTTGGTGTCATATCTCATGCTTGTCAAAAATGAAATCTAGCTAGCTATCCAAAAGGGGGGTGAATTGGGTCCTATCAATTTTTGCTTAAAAACTTGTCTCCTTTGTTTCAAAACTTAAATCAAATTTTCAGAATATAAACTGTTGTGCAAAATAAACAAAGAATAATAAAGTGCAGGAAAATAAAAAGAGAGGGAAGAGAATATCAAGCTATGATTTATAGTGGTTCTTCCAACTCGAAGTACGTCCACTTCCCAAGCCTCCTTGCTCAAGAGTTCAATCCACTAGGATTCTCTTGCTTACGAGTGCAAGATTAAACCAGAACAAACTCTTGCTTGCAGGTGCAAGATTAAACCCTCACAAGTGAATCTCAACAACTCACTCAACCCCTTTAAGGATTATCCCAATCCAAGAAGAATACAAAACCCTTGAAAGACAATTAACCCAAAAGCTCACAAGAAGAAAAAGAAGAAGATCCAGAACAATTTCAAAAACAAACTCTGTTTTTCTATCTTCCTCACTCAAGTCCGTTCTTTCTATTCGTAGATCTTATTTTTTGATACTAATAGTTGGTTGGGAGCTCTTGCAATTAAAGCCTTCTTTGCCCTTCAATGCCACCTCATACTAGTTCCAATCAGATTTCACCCTTTTTCTTCTTCTTATAATGAACTTTGACTTGTCTTGGAATGTGCTTAGTCATCTAGATCCTTCCAAGGTCCATTAAAACAAAACAGATAATTGAATTGTTAAAATTTTGCTTCTAGAATTTTTGCTTCGAAAACCAAAAATATTGGTTTGAACCGTTTTCGAAAAAAGAACTTTGGGATTGGTTCAAATAAATTCCAATTTATTCGAACCCAAAACTCTGAACAATGAGGACATGAATTAATTATAATCGTGGGGAAAGATTGGAATCCTTGAATTAACTTCCCTACACACTTAGCACAAAATAGATTAAACTTTTTTGAATCATGGTTTTAATTCATCACCAAAATACAAAGAGAAAAGTGGAGGATGTATATAGACTTCACAAACTTGAATGATGCATGGCCAGAGGACCCTTATCCACTTCCAAACACAGAAAAATTAGTGGAATGAGTAACCAGTCATAAGTGCATGAGTTTCTTAAATGCGGGCTCAAGTTACCACCAGGTTCAACTTTTGCTTGACCAAGAGAAAACGGCATTCTATGCTAGGGATGCAATTTACTATTATGTAATGATGTTGTTTAGGCCAAAGAATGCTGATGCTACATACTAGAAGCTTGTTCAGCTCATCTTCAAACTCCAAATCAGAAGGAACATAGAGGTCTATATGAGCGACATGATTGTCACTAGCCTTTGAGCTAAAGACCACTCAACAATTTGGATGAAATTTTCCAAAACTTTCACCAGGCACAAATGATGATAAAGGAGTTGACAAGCTATTCAAGCTTGCTTCTGCCAAAGAAATGCCCTAGTATCTAACAACTTATGTTGAGGTTCTTAAGACCCATAGCTATATTGATTTCGGTGGTCTTGGTTGTGCAATGCTGAGCACAAACTCGTCTTTTCAACATTAAACCATGCCTCTCGTTAAGTTCTTATAATCCAAAGAGCTGCTTGATGACGAGTTTGAGGCTCGGCTAGTGAGACAAAAGGCAACTCATTTTTGTCTATTTGAGAGTCAATTATACAAGCAAGCAACATTAGCACCCCTGCTAACATGCCTTGCCCCTTATGAGGCAGAGTATGTTGTTAGGGAAGTTCATGAAAGAGTCTATGGCACACACATTGGGGGAAAAGCGCTTGTTCAGAAACTCCTAAGGCAGGGCTATTATTGGCCTCCAACGGTCGAAGGTGCTCAGAATTATGTAAAAAAATGTCCGACTTGCCAGGTTAATGCCAATGACATTCACATGCCAAGTAGACTAGCTAGATCCTGATCCATTTTTCTTTACAAACTCGTATCAATACAATGATCGAGTTCAAGTTGCTTAAATCTTAAGGGAAATGTTTCTTCACTCACCTCTCCATGGCCATTCGCTCAATGAGGAGTGGATTTACTCGAACCTTTTGTCAAAGGCATAAGGGGATGCACACATGTGATTGTTGTTGTAGATTATTTCACTAAGAGGTTGAGGAGTTCTTACTATACAGGTATAAAAATACTACTAAATTACCTATATTATATGTAATGGCAATATATTTAGCCCATCTATTAATGTGCAAAGATGGCATTCCTCATTGTATAATCGCAGACAATGGCCCCCAATTTCAAGTTGCTGCACTAAAAAGATTTTGTGATGGTTATAGAATCCAACTCGTTCTTACCTATGTTTATACCCCGCACACTGTTGGGGTGTGCTGGTGATGTGGTCGATGAGTCAACGGTGAAGATGACGTGAAAGCTAACTAACATGCCACCCAAGAAAATGAGGAAGGTCCTTTTGGCAGCACCCGTTTCACATGCAAAAGGCTACATGCTACAAGCCATCTTGTTTTGTCAAGCGATGATATCTAACAGCAAACTCTCCAACAAAGTTTGAAAGTACAAATGTTCCAACCAAACTGGAAGAGTTGGGTAATAATGACAAAATTTCAAGAACCAGGAGTGATTACACAACTATCAAAAATAGTGCAAAGAAGGTGTACATTGTCGTAGAAGCAGCAAGGACAAAAAATACATTAGGGTCAAGAGTTACAACTTAAGAAGCACACTTATATATAAAATATTGTGACATAATAATAATGACAAAAAATGTGCCCTCTACCATCTCTAGTAAATATCCTCACTCTATAACAAATAGCCCTCATATTGTGAATGGAAAACACAATGATCCCTTTATTAAGCTCTTTCAAGAACAAAAAGAATAAACTTGAAAATGGTGATGGGAGAAAGAAGGATGATCGCTTGGGGGCTTATGAGTGGAGTGCTTGATCTCATTTTTTATGCT